AAATCCCTGGGAGACTGAAAACTTCATCAACTCAACCATGTAAATGACTGCATTTCTCATTAATCTCATCAAGTGACAGAAGAAGTTAACCAAAAGGAAATGGGGCGGTTCTTCAAAGCCTGGGAAGCCCAGGGGACAGAATTTAGTAGCACTAGAGTAGTTCCCCTCACTGTTTCAATCCTAGCTCTTTCTCTTTGGGAAGGCTAGAAAGGAAACAAGAATTAACATTGCTCCATGTGCCTTCAATCCCAAAGGAAATTAAGGACAGATTTAGGGTTATGCGCCTAGATTATGGAGGCTGCTCTAGGTTATGATCATTTAACAGAGTTGATGCTACATATTTATTAAGGAATGGACACAACTGTGTAAAGATGAATGGATCTGGTCAGATAAGTGGTTCACCAGGCACCAAAGCTGCACGTAGCCATTGCAATAGGCAGAGGAATGTCCCCTCAAAGATGTCCAAGCCCTAATCCTTGGAATTTGTGAAAATGTTGCTTTACATAGGAAAAGGGACTTTGCGAGTGTGATTGGGTTGAAGACCTTGAGATGAGGGGATTAGCCTGGGCAATCCAGGTGGGCTGAATCTAATCTTAGGGGTGACCCACGTGGGCTGAATCTAATCTTAGGGATTTGTAAAAGTGGAGAAACTTTTCCTCTGAGTTCAGTCAGAGGGCTAAGTGATGACAGAAGACGGTTCCGAGAGACACATGTGGCTGGCTTTGAAGATGGACGAGGGAACCATTAGCCAAGGAATGTAGGCAGCTTCTAGGAGCTGGAAAAGCAAGGAGACTCCAGAAAGGAAGGCAGCCCTGATGACGCCTTGATTTCAGCTCATTGAGGCCTGTGTCAAGTTACTGACCTGTAGAATTTGTCAGGTAATACATCTGTGTTGTTTAAGCTACAAAATTTGTGGTAATTGGCTACAGAAGCAATAGAAAATGAATAGTCACGAAGGCTCATGTAGCCCTGACCTATCCTCCTGCCTTTCAATTCCCGAGCCCCTGCCTCCAGCCCTGCTCTGGCCAGCACTGTCTGCCTACCTGAGCTCCCTGCTAGCAACTGTCTCCTTTCTTCTTCCTCCTCCATTTCTAGCCTTTTGACCTGCATTCTTCTTTACTTTCTTTCTTTTTGTTTTTGTTTTGAGACAAAGTCTTGCTTTGCCACCCAGGCCAGAGCACAGTGGCACGGTATCAACTCACTGCAACCTCCACCTCCTGGGCTCAAGCAATTCTCCTGCCTCAGCCTCCCGGTTAGCTGGGATTACAGGTGTCTACCACTACGCCTGGCTAATTTTTTGTATTTTTATTAGAGACGGGGTTTCACCATGTTGACCAGGCTGGTCTTGAACTCATGACCTCCAGTGATCCACCCACCTTGGCCTCTCAAAGTGCTAGGATTATAGGCATGAACCACTGTGCCCAGCCTCTTCTTTGCTTTCAATGGGTCAGGTCCAAATCTCAGTTCCAGGCTCAAGTCCTACAGAAAGATTGCCCAGTCAACCCCTCCAGCCCTAGTTATTCTTAAACTCAGGGCCCCACTGCACTATCTTCATTGTACAGCTTTTCCTTGAAATCTTTGAGTCATTATTTCTGTCTCAGTGTGGGTGGGGTTGCACTGGGTATCATGCATAAGGTTTAAATGTCTATGAGATGAAAGACTGTGACTCGGAGTTTACTAGGGAGCTGGAAGCTCAGAGTGGCCTCACCATGTTCCCTTTTCCTTTGTGCCCAGGGTGTGTATTTTCTCACAGGAGCCAGATCCCAAGATGTGGGGATCTGGGCCCTCACCATATTCCCTTTTCCTTTGTGCCCAGGGCGTGTATCTTCTCACAGGAGCCAGATCCCAAGATGTGTCCACCAAGGGCCCTGCCTCTGGAGGCGGAGATCTGCCTCTTAATCTCACTGTTTGATTCCCAGACTTCTCCAGATGATACTTTCTTTGGAGAATTTTAACAAGAGGCTGCTATGGTCCAGGGCCTCCATTCCCTGCCTCCCTAGATCCCTGAATCCTGGATCCACTTGGAGATTTTGTCTGCAAATGGAAACTCTGGATCCAGCCCTGGCTAGGTGCCCAGGCTGTCATAATTTTAGTCCAGCTGGGAAAATTCCTTTGTGTTTGTTCCATGATCTCATCTTTTTTCCATGGTCCTAGGAGGAGGGCAAGGGCCAGGAGACAGGCATTGCCAAGGTGCTGATCCTAAGCCATCGGCTGCTTGGGTGTATCTAGGTCTTTATCCATTTCTTTATTCAGATCTTTTTCCTCAAAACAGAGGACATCTCATTATTCTAAGGAGCAACGTCAGTGCCTCAGAAGTCCCCAGAGGGCTCCTTGGCTTCCTGTCACTCCCAGAGAAAACACTGCTGGAGTCTAAGTTTCCCATCCAGTAAGCTCAGCTGTAAACAGCATCAAGACACGAAGGACTTGGAGATGTGGATGAGAGAAAGAGCTGAAAACACTCATCCTTGAGAGAGAAGGGACAGAATCAACACCTTTCCCCTCTGGTCTCCTGAAGGTCTTCTTTCCCATCTCCCAGCCCCACATCAATGCTGCCGCCCCTGGCTTTGTAGTGACACAGGGTAGGTGCTGAATTAGAAAATCAGCATAAGGACTGGCAGTGTTTTAGTTCACCCAGCAGTGCCACCTCTTCCCAGCTGTGCACAACGCTCCTGTCCACCCTTCCCAGCCGCAAGACACAACCCGAGGGAGAGACTGCATCTCTGATGTCACGCACATTACAGAGCGAAGCCACTAGGCAGGTGTCAACAGCTAAGAATGCCTAAATGAGAGCAGCTTACAAAGAAGACACCAGGCTTAGAGGCTAAGGTGAGTGGGGGAAGTCTGTATGTCAGTCAGGATCTCATGAAATACAGACATAAGGACTGGGTTTGAATTTAGTCAGTGCTGGGGTAGATTTTAGACCTACCGTTAAGGTTTGTCAGTGGCATGAGTGCAAGGCTTTTTATTTATTTATATTTATTTATTTATTTATTGTTTTCGAGATGGAGTCTAGCTTTGTCATCCAGGCTGGAGTGCATTGGCACGATCTCAGCTCACTGCAACCCCACATCCCAGGTTCAAGTGCTTCTCCTACCTCAGCCTCCGAAGTAGCTGGGATTACAGGTGCCCACCACCATGCCCAGCTAATTTTTGTATTTTTAGTAGAGATGGGGTTTCACTGTGTTGGCCAGGCTGGTCTTGAACTCCTGACCTCGTGATCCACTCGCCTCAGCCTCCCAAAGTGCTGGGATTACAAGTGTGAGCTACCACGCTCGGCCGGGTGCAAGGCTTTTGAAAATTAGAATGTCATTGCTGGATGGCCAGGACACAGCCCCAGATGAAGCTTTTATGGGGCTGGAGAAAGGGCCAGAGTAGATCTATACACAGCTTCACTCCTTCCACTCCTGACAGTTTGTGTTGTAAATACTTATGTTTGCTTGTGTTTGAAATGTTTTAAAGTACCCTTTTGGTGAATTGAAATTCCAAGAAACAGTGTAAAGCTGTAAAGATCTTCACACACACGCACATGCTGGCAACGAGAAGTGTAGAGAGACGATGGGCCAAAAAAATGTGAGTTCTATTGACGGTCGTAACAATAAGAACAGTGATAACAATAACAACAACGATTTGTTGGCTAGTATGTGCCAGTCACTGCACTAAGTAGTTTACTTATTTAATTTTATAATCACCATAGAGGCTAAGTACCAGTAATACCTTTATTTTATAGCTGAGAAAACGGGTTCAGAGAGAGTAAGTAACAAAGAAGAGCAGATTTATGGCCCGTGACAAGCAAGTCTAGAGCCAGAATTCAAACACAGGCAAGTCAACTCTATAGCTTACGCTTTGCACCACGAGGGGAGGGGAAGTGCAGTGGAGACAGCAAAGCAGCGCCCTTGGGTAGACCACCGCTGACGCCCTTGGGAAACCTGATGACTGTGTGTGTCCCGGGAGAGCAGTTACTAGGATTTCCAGGCCTTGCTCCCTGACCTCCAGCACCCTTTCTGCTCTCCATCTTTGCAAACACGAAGCAGAGGCCCACTCTAAAAGACACTAATTTCTGGACTCAAAACTCTGACTTTCACCAATTTCATGATCACAGCTGGAGAAATGTGCACAAGTGAGGCTCCTCAGAGAGGCAGCTCAGAAAGGTTCGCAGGGAGCCTTTAAACGGGGTCTTGGGGCACAATCTCTAGGTGTGACACAGACGGATCAGCCTACGTTCGGGGGGTTCTGGGTCACATGCACTAATGCTTTCTCTCCCTCCTCTCTTTTTTCTGTGTTCCTCCCCTTTCTGTATTTCTCTATTTCTCCCTCTCTCTTATTTGAATTTTTTTCTGTTCTTTCTCTGTTCCTCTGTTGTTTTCTTCTTGTTTTCTCCCTAAATGTCAATGTCTGTTGCCATGTGGTCTTCCTTAATCCACTCCTCTGTTTTTCTTTGTTCTTTTTTTTCTTTTTCTTTTTTGAGATGGAGTCTTGCTCTGTCACGCAGGGTGGAGTGCAGTGGCACGACTTCGGCTCACTGCAACTTCCACCTCCCAGGTTCAAGCAATTCTCGTGTCTCAGCTTTGCAGGTAGCTGAGATTACAGGCGCCTGCACCTGGCTTATTTTTGTATTTTTAGTAGAGACAGGGTTTCACCATGTTGGCCAGGCTGGTCTTGAACTCCTGACTTCAGGTGATCCTCCCACCTCAGCCTCCCAAAGTGCTGAGATTACAGGCATGAGCCACCATCCCCAGCCTTCTCTCTTCTTAATAATGGCTTTCTATGTCTTTCGCTTCGCTGATACCCTCACTCTGTTTCTCTATGACTCTCCTATTCCATTGTTATCTTTATTGCTTTTTCTGTCTGCTTATCTGTTTATCACCCGCTGGCTACTTGCCTTGCTCTCCCTATTCTCTGTCTCTGTCCCTGTTTCTTCTGTTTCAAGGTCAGTGGTTCTCTGTCTCTATCTCTCTGTTTCTGCCTCTCCATCTGTCTTTTGTTTCCCTTGCATGCAGGGCCCTAGCCTGTGGATCATGGCAAATTTGAGCCAGCCCTCCGAATTTGTCCTCTCGGGCTTCTCCTCCTTCGGTGAGCTGCAGGCTCTTCTGTATGGCCCCTTCCTCATGCTTTATCTTCTCGCCTTCATGGGAAACACCATCATTATAGTTATGGTCATAGCTGACACCCACCTACATACACCCATGTACTTCTTCCTGGCCAATTTTTCCCTGCTGGAGATCTTGGTAACCATGACTGCAGTGCCCAGGATGCTCTCAGACCTGCTGGTCCCCCACAAAGTCATTACCTTCACTGGCTGCATGGTCCAGTTCTACTTCTACTTTTCCCTGGGTTCCACCTCCTTCCTCATCCTGACAGACATGGCTCTTGACCGCTTTGTGGCCATCTGCCACCCACTGCGCTATGGCACTCTGATGAGCCGGGCTGTGTGTGTCCAGCTGGCTGGGGCTGCCTGGTCAGCTCCTTTCCTAGCCATGGTACCTACTGTCCTCTCCCGAGCTCATCTTGATTACTGCCATGGCAACGTCATTAACCACTTCTTCTGTGACAGTGCACCTCTCCTGCAGTTGTCCTGCTCTGACACTCGCCTATTGGAATTCTGGGACTTTCTGATGGCCTTGGCCTTTGTCCTCAGCTCCTTCCTGGTGACCCTCATCTCCTATGGCTACATAGTGACCACCGTGCTGCGGATCCCCTCTGCCAGCAGCCGCCGGAAGACTTTCTCCACCTGCGGGTCTCACCTCACACTGGTCTTCATTGGCTACAGTAGTACTATCTTTCTGTATGTCAGGCCTGGCAAAGCTCACTCTGTGCAAGTCAGGAAGGTCGTGGCCTTGGTGACTTCAGTTCTCACCCCCTTCCTCAATCCCTTTATCCTTACCTTCCGCAATGAGACAGTTAAAACAGTGCTACAGGGGCAGATGCAGAGGCTGAAAGGTCTTTGCAAGGCACAATGATGAGCCTGGGGCCCGGAGGGACCTGGCCTGCCTCCATCGAGCAGTTCTGTGGGGAGGGAGACCTCCAGTGAGTGGGAAGACCACTGTTGAGTTTCTTTAGTTTTTTTCCTCTGAGCAATAACTACAGTGAGCCCTCAGTGCTGCACTGTCTGGCCCAAAGCTCTTATGGGCCACCATGGAAGTGTTCCCTACATCCCCTGGCAGCCGTAAGAACTCTGAGAGTAGCCCAGAGCTTTCAGTAAAGGGAAGTGCATGTGCTTTGCATTTAAGGAAGAGTAGCCAAGAAGTGCTCTCTGATCAAGAGGTAGTATCCAGTCCCAGTATATGTGCATGGATGTGTATGTGTGTACATATGTGTGCATGTGTGTGCATGTTCAGGGCGTGCTTCTCTATCACAGTATGCACCATTGCTGAGTGTACGCACCATAAGTGCTTGGGCTACATGGGATCAAGGGAAGAAGCAAAACTTACCAAAAACAAACTGATTGTTTTTTAATGTGTGTGTGAGTGTTGTGGGGAGGGCTGGGTCCTTGTATGATTATTCATCCATTCATTCATTTCATCAATATTGAGTAGGCTGTGTATGTCAGGCACTGGAACAGGTAGAGGGTAAGAAGGTAAAAAAGGCATAAATGGTTCTTCGCCTGACAAAGCTCTTGGCCTAAGGAAGGAAAGAGTGATAAATAGCTGTTTCCAGCACAGTGGGGAAAGTGCAACAGTGGATTCACAGAAGGTTTTATGAGCATACAGGAGAGCAACACTGAGACCAGGCAGGGGCTGAATGACGGCTTCCTGATGAGATGACACCTGAGTAGCACATTGACTATAAGGTGGACACTGTGAGAGTGCAATTCATCAGGTATCTTTGCATCAGAGAAAGATGAAACAGAGGGAAATTAAAACAAGATAAATCTCCACTAATGAGGAATTATGTGGTTTCCAGAGAGGAAACACTCAGAGTTTTAGAAAGATAAAATAAACTTTGCTCCTGTATGGTTAGAAATATTCATTTGCCTAAAGGCAAGGGATTGTAATAAACTTAGTCAATTCATTTATTCAGTCATTATATATCCTATTTTACACACATATATATTATATTGTACATTACATAAAATATGAACATTATATTACATTCACATACATGTGGGTATAAAATTCTTGAAAGTCTATTATGTCCCATGCTGCCTTTGGAGTCAAACATCAGCTCCACTGTCCTCCCTCCTCCAACTATAGCTGGAAATTTAAAAAATCTTCCAGTTACTTTGACCTCAGGATCATGGTGTTCCCTTAGCTTTCTCCTACGCAGAATTTTCTAAAGTATCCCCAGTTTAAGTTGTTCTGACACATTGTTTCTGTAAATACACTTTAATTTACCAAACTCTATTTCCCAATTTGTGATATATAAACTACAATCAGGAGTTTATTCATAGCTACACTTACTTGAAAACAATAAAACTACTAATTTATCACAAATGTCGAGCATTTAAAAAATCCACTATGTGGAAATGAATGAGGTAGGCTCATCTGGAGCTTGGGAGATGTGGCTTGCTTGCCAGCCCGTTGGGTCTCCTTGTGACCTCCTCTTACCCCAAGTTAACTCCTTCCTAAACAAGGCACCCCTTTCTCTGGCTTTCTGAAAGTGTCTTTCTTTCTTGCTGAGATACCCCTCAGCCAAGTCAGAGGGTCTTTTTACGTTCCTAGTTTCAGTTTCTGGACCAAAATTTTTGCTCGTTCTTTAATTACATAACAGAGCAATGACTCTGGTGTTTGCAATTGCTGTTGAATGAATTGATGTTTTTTTCCTCTGTTTATTCTCTGCTTGCTACCTAGAAAAGTAAGTATTTGTAGAGTAAATGAAAGAAGGATGAGTAAATTAAGAATAATTCTACTAACAATATCTTACTTTTGTATACTTTTCACACTTTACGAACCACTTTTACATATATTTTCCATTTGGTTTTTACCCTCATAGTAATTCAATTAAATAAAGATTCACTGATCACCCATCATGAACCAAACACTCCACTCAGCAGTGGCTGTTAAAGATGAAAGAAATGTGGAGTCTGACCTCAAGGGGTTCCCTGTACTGAGAGAAATTTTAAAATGTGGTTAATTTCAATAAGGTGTTTTCCTATGGAGTGTATGAGAGCTCAGAAGGAAAATTTCTGATTCTGAAACTGCAGCAAGCAGTGTTCCTGGCCCGCTTTAGTGGGAAAGGGAAATACGGTTGAGGGGAAGAATGAGTTGGTCAAAGAAATGGCAGAACTGACAGCAGGATCTGGTTCTTCAGACCTTTTTTTCCATCTCCCCATCTTTGGAATTTTCTTCTTCCATCTGAATTAAAAGTTGGGTTAATTCAAAGTTGGAACCTCCAGGGTCTGAAGCTGCTCAGTTTTGCCTCCTCTGGACCCTTACTGATCACATATCTATCAAGTTTCTACAAGTTTGTAGACTTGTAATGGCAACAATTCTAGTAACCCCTTCCTCACAGTAATTGCACATTTAGTATCTATCACTTGAGAGAAACACATATTGGCAGAAAGCAAGTATAGATTCAATGTTACTTTTAAAGATTTGTGTTTCAATATCAAAGGCATAGAAGCAACCCAGATGCCCATCAATGGTGGACTGGATAAAGAAAATGTGGTACATATACACCATGGAAGACTACGCAGCCATAAAAAACAGTGAGGTCATGTCCTTTGCAGCAACTCAGATGGAGCTGGAAGTCATTATCCTAAGCAAATTAAGACAGAAACAGAAAACCAAATACCACATCTTCTCTTATAAATGGGAGCTAAACACTGAGTATACGTGGACACAAATGAGGGTATAGTAGACACTGGGACCTACTTGAGGGTGGAGGGAGGGAGGAGGGTGAGGACTGAAAAACTGTCTATCAGGTATTATGCTAATTGCTTTGGTGACAAAGTTATCTGTACACCAAATCCCAGCAACGTGCAATTTACCCAGGTGATAAACTTGCACATGTGCCCCTTGAACCCAAAATAAAAGTTGGAAAGAAGGAAAAAAAGATTAGTATTTTATTGAGCACAATTGGTTCCACGAGCATTTGAAGTATAGCACATAATACCTATACGGGTAAGATATTTTTATTTTGAATAAATATTTTGATTCTATTCATATACAATGTTAATTATACAATGGATTCACAGTCCCTCTGCTATGATACCATTTTCCCTGGGAGGTGAGAACAGTTGATGTGGCTGTTTGTCTATGTAAGGTCGTTGGATGTAGATGCACAGATGGCAACAGCCTTTTCACTTCATAGAAGTGGCTTACACTGCAACCTAATTTCCGGGTGGTAGGAGGGCAAGGTTGCTTTCAACACACAGAACTAATTTAAGTGTAGGCAAAATCATGGCAGGATTTCATGAAACTAAAATATTTTCCTTGGCCCCAAATATCTTCCCACCCATCCTTCACTTGTCTGGCATCCTAGCTCTAAATGGCTAACCCAAGAATCCATCCTCACACATGTAAATCCCAGTGGGAAGTCAAAAAGTGGATTTATTTCTTCTAGTTGGGAGGATTAGAGAGCAAGAAACCGAGGGTATGAAAGTTTTCGAGGAAGGAAGACAAAGGTATATAATCACTTTCCAAAGGAAAGTCAGGCCTGGATCTTGCGGTGGTTGGTAGTAACATCAAGACCCTGCACGGGTGGGATTTTAGGAGTTTGGTGAGGTGAAAAACCCTCTGAGTCAAACTAAGAAAAGGTCAGTGTTGACTATAGTGGACTAGATTCATATCGGTCTGATTCACTAATTCTTTCAGCACTGGGTTTTCTGATGTACATATGTTTCTTCAACAATGCCTGACAGGTACTGAGGAATGGTGGTCGTGGCTCAGTGGTCTGCTGGTAAATGTTTAGCCCCAGCTCTCCATTTGCTGACTTCTAGCATTTGCCAGCTTCCTGCTGTCAATATTTTCACCGTGTCCAATTTTAAGCTACCAAGATGGCATCTGAAGTTGGAGTTAGGGAAAGATGCCCCGTCGTACCGCCCCATACGGTATTTCTACCACACTGAGACATGTGGCCTAAATAACCTCAGTCTCATGGACAAAAGTACAATGTAGCAAAGCAACGAGGAGTTTTTAATATGAATCACTTTTGTTTTTAGCATAACTTATTTGATTATGAGTTTCTGTTATCTACTTTTTTTTTTTTTTTTTATCATGGCTGTGTTTAATTCCTGCCAATTTAACGATCGATTTCTAGGCATTTCCATACATCCTCTGAAATCTAGGCAGAGGTTCCCAAAGCTTAACTCTTGTCTTCTGCACACCACGTGGAAGCTGCCAATGCTTGGGGCTTGCACCCTCTGAAGCAAAGACCTGAGCTGTACCTTTTTTCCTTTTAGCCACGACTGGAGCTGGAGTGGCTGGGACATAGGGCACCAAGTCCTGAGGCTGCACAGAGCAGTGCGGCCCTCTGCCTGGCCCACAAACTATTTTTCCCTCCTAGGCCCCTGGGCCTGTGATGAGAGGGGCTGCTGTGAAGGTCTCTGACATGCCCTGGAAACATTTTCCCCATTGCCTTGGCTACCAGCATTCGGGTCCTCATCTCCAGCTGAGACCACCTCAGCCTGGACTTCATTGTCCATATCACTATCAGTATTTTGGTCAAAACCATTCAACAAGTCTCTAGGAAGTTCCAAACTTTCCCATGCCTTCCTGTCTTCTTCTGAGCCCTCCAAACCGTTCCAGCCTCTGCCAGTTAGCCAATTCTAAAGTCCTTTCCACATTCTCAGGAACCTTGTTACAATGCCCCACTATGGGTTCTCCAGGGGGCTCCAGAACATCACTAGCATCCTACCTCTGGGTTTCCCTTAGATCCTGCTCCCCAGTCAGCGCTGCATTGCTGTCATTCTCCTTCACTTGAGTTAGACACCTGCCAAGTCCTATGGAGGTAAAGCTCATGGCATCGCCCTTATAAGGGAACTTACAAATTATTTTATCTGATAGACACAGGATCCTCCATATATGAGGGGACCCGGCTTCTTCACTGGCAGCTGGGCAGCTCATCACTCACATTTGTGCTTCTCTCACTCAGTGGACAACTCACCCAGAAGTTCTTGGGTTACCCAGCCCTAGGGGTGAGTCCAAAGGACTGTATATGAGGCCCTTGTCCTTGTCATGGAGGAAGTTGGCTGTGATCTAAGGAGAGGGGACACCACAGATTTCCTTCCCTCTCCTTCACAGACACAGAAGGCAGATTCCCCCATTCTCAGTCTCATCCCCATGCCTCCCTTTTGTTGGAGGACCTGAGCAAACCAACCTTAAAGGGATATAACACGTGACTAATTCAGCTGCTGGCAGAGAGGGAAATCAAGCATTTCAGAAAAGTTGAGCTCTCTGAACTTACTTAGGTTATTTGCAAAATTAAAGGCAATACAGTTTCAGCGCTGAAGGTAAATAGCACCTTTGGTGACTACAATATGATTGCCCTAGGCAAGCAGAGATTTCTACACTGATGTACACGCTGAAGTTTGTTGTAATCAAATATGCCGTTATTTCAGTGAGTGGAGCATCTTGCAGAGGACACTTACAGGTCCACTGGGGGACTTGGGTCTGATTACTGATGATACCCATGGCCAGTCTCCAGAAACCCACTCATTAATCCTGTCTTTTTAGGCTTTGGTTGTCTACACAATATACCATTTTATGTCTATGTTATTTTACACACTCAGTTGCCTCTCTCAGGAATTCACTTTTCCTCTTCTCAGCCTATAAAACTGTTCTTTGGACCTCAAAAAGTCATTTCAACTTAACTTTTAACTTAATCAAAAGAAATGGGGCATTCCCTGAGAGCTTTGCCTTCAGGAACTCAGAGGAAGTCACACTGAGGTTTGACATAAGGATTTCTTCTTAAGATTTAGAACCATGCAGTGAAGAAAGGGGCTTCCTCCCACAGCTGGGAATGGTCCATCTCTGGACTTGGTTCAGTGTAGTTTTGTCTATGTGTGGGTTCTGAGCTCCTTATGTTAGGTGTCGTGCCTTATAGATCTTTGTTTTTCCTGTACCTAGAATATAGTAGGTGTTCAATAAATGCTAGCTGTCATTAATCATGAGGTTTATATGAATTTGGAACATGAGTTAGCACGATAACCTAAACATGGAATGCCATCTTAGTTGATGGTAAGAAATATAGTCAACAGAGCAAGAGAAAAGGTTTCCCACTGCTCTACATCTCAGTTAGTTGTCTAAACTAGTACCACAATCAGTTCCAAGATGCACCTAACAGGAACCAAAAAAAGCAATATGGAAGGCAAGAGTTCTACAAACGGTTTGATGCAACCTCCTATTTGTAAACCTGAATATTTTGGAGGGGGATGTGTAGATATCTTTGCTTACCTGCTAGTCTGCCTGCATAACTGAAAAAGGCAGAACTGGGACAATGGGTGAAGGTTAGAGGAAGTCATATTGAGGTTTGACATAAGGATTTCTTCTTAAAATCTAGAACCATGCAGTGAAGAAAGGGGCTGCCTCCCACAGCTGGGCATGCTCCATCCCTGGACTTGGTTCAAGCAGAGTCCCTAAGCCAGTCTGTTCAGTGTGTTGCAGTGGGGATGCCTGCACCGAGACAGAGGAAGGTAGGCCTACATGACCTACTCCCTTGCAATTCCATGAGGCTGTGTTTTATTTACATCATGTCTTAAACCTGGGGAGCCTTTTATAGCAGCTACTTTGATTTGGAACCAGAATCCCAAGATTTCTCCCAGCAAGTTGCAAGATTTTTTTAAAATTATTTTTTCATTTCTATCTATCCAGGAGTCTCATTTGACATTATGCACATTGACAACCCTGCCACATTAAGACAAATGTCTGGAACCAATATATCTAGACATCTCTAGGTCACATCCACATAGAATTCTAACAGTGAGTCAGAGGCTGGGCCATTGATTGAAGTCACTCAAGAAGTTTAAAGTCAGACTAGGATGAGAGTCTTCAGGGTCTTTATCCTGGTTACTACTGTCTCTGGAAATGGGACCTGGGATAAAGGTCACCAAGGAAAGATGGCTCCAATAATAGCAAATGTGTCCCCAAATTCCCTCTTCCAATGCCTTTCACATTGTTGAGATTGGAACAAGGGCTTTCTTATACAATTTTCTGTTTGAAAATTCTACCAGCAAATTGTTTAGATCCGCATTACTCAGATATTAATGTGCATAGGAATCACCTGGGGATCCTGCAAAAACGCAGATTCTGATTTAGGAGGTATCAGGTGGGACCTGAGATTCTGCATCTCCAATAAGCTCCCAGGAGATGCCAGTGCTGTTTCAAGCATCACACTTTGAAGAGCAAAGAACCACAGGCAAGGCTGTGGGGCAAGTCAGGTTGCGTGATGCTAGATTCCCTGGGGTGATTGCTGTGAAGGCCCAAGGCTAGTCATACCTTCCCCAAAACTGACCAGAGACCCCACTTCCAAGGAAATCCTATGAAAAACAGGCGATAGCCTGCTACAGGCTATTGATTATTTTTAGTTTTTTAAGAGGGGAATGTGCAGAGAAAAGAGAGTAGCAGGAAGGAGTCCCTGGGGAGGACGCTGAGTGACTCCTGTGCTGATTATTTTAGGAGGAGAAGCTGAGGAAAAGTATCTGCATCTCAGAAGGAGATAATTACTTTCCACTTAGCTCTTCAGTTTTTCAGAAAGTTTGCAAGGAGGGCAAGTAATTAGTCTCTTGAGAGGTGAAAGAGACAAGTTCTCAGGATGAAAAACTTCTTCCTGCTGGTCTTTACAGCAGAATCAGAAGTATCTGTCCACTTTTGGCAAGGCCCACAAATGCAAAAATGTACTGTGGTGGTTGAAAAAAAAAAAACCATATATGTTAGAGATCAAGCTAAATGACAGAGACAGTAAGACAGTGGTGCCTCCAGGCTCTGTGTCCTGGAATGCTTCCCCTACAACCATTCTTCATAGTCTTGGCCCTGTGGGGCGGCTCCCATCCTGTGACTCCACACTGCAAATTATGAGCAGGGCCTCTCCTCTAAGGATCCTGTGGACAGAGCCAGCTTCAGAAATGAGAGGAAGTTTGCATCTACTCTTTGCCCCACTTTGCCAATCCTAGCCCAGCCCAATTGAGACCCAGTCTAGTAAAAGAAACCAGACCCGGAGCTCTTCCTGCCGCTGCCATCTTCCCATGACTTCCCACACCATCCAGATTTCCAAGGAATGCCTCTTATCAGCCCTCCCATCCCGTTACCCACAACACCAGTCCCACTCCATTTACTCCTTCTCATCTGACTTCTATCATATTTGCTTCTACCATCCAGGGGCCCTGGTAATCTGGCCAGGCTGCTCTCAGGAAACCCAACCTCAGAAGGCCTGGGCAACTGGTCCTCTTTCTGGAACTTGGATCTAAGGTTCTACAGTAGAAGGGAAGTAGTGGCCCATGGGAAGGGCAAGGCAGCAAGTCTGAGAGTGTGGATGCAGCTCAGCTTTTCCCCACTCTCATATGCATGAAAAAGGTAAGGCCTTCATGACTTTCTATAAGAGGGTTGGAGGAGTGGCTCCCTGAGAGCCATTTCTGTGGAAAGACAAGAGGCTTTGGGGCCAGATGGAAGAAATGGGCAGCCTGGGTGTGAGGGTGCTTCCATCCAGGAGCAGTCAGGCCGAGAGAGGAGCGCCAACAGTGGCACATGGCTCCTCCTGCGTTGGGGTGCCAGGCCTCTCTGCTCTTCTTAGAACACCTCCCATTTTCAGAACTCTATCCTAGACCTTGAAGCCAGGTCCTAAAAAGGAAACATATCCAAAATAAAAGTTGAACACAAACTTAAAAGAATGCAAGCAAAACCATAGAGCTGAGAAAGAGAGGTTTTAATAGGACATTTTAATAATAGCTACATTTACTGAGCTCTTACTTAATGTACTAGACCCTGCACTAAGAGTCTTACTTGTTTGGATTATCTCTTTTAATTAATATCGTCCCATTGTACTCACTCCACATTCCCTATCCATTCCTTAACTATCTCAGACACACAGAAACTTGCCTTTGAGACATTCTAACAGTGTGTGTCCATTAGTTCTCTGCAGTGCAAGAGAAGAAACTTGCATGAAGATGAGAGAGCAGGAGAAATTGAGAAAAAAAGAGAGTGAGGAGCTCCAGCTTAGGCATGCGGGTGCCCACTTGCAGCAAGTCTACTCCTCATGACTTGTCAGGTGCTCTCCAGCCCTGTCAAGGGCTCACTCTTTCACCTACAGGCTGCTGGGTCTCTAAGGAAGATCCTTTTGGTCACATCCTCAATGACCTCCTTGACCTTCTCATTCCGGAAGGTAAAGATGAAGGGGTTGAGGAAAGGAGTTACCACTGCAGTCACCAGGGCCACCACCTTGTTGAGGTGTGTGGAATGGCCCTTGCCTGGCCTCACGTAGATGAAGATGGCACTGCCATAGCCCAGCACCACCACTGTGAGGTTAGAGGCACAGGTGGAGAAGGCCTTCTGGCACCCAGAGGAGGAGGGGATGTGCAGCACAGCAGCCACAACGAGGACGTAGGAGAGGATGATGAGCAGCATGGTGGTCAGCACAAAGAGCAGGGACAGGAAGAGAACCATGCGCTCAATATGGTGGGTGTCAGAGCAGGCAAGCTTGAGCAGCAGGGCAGAGTCACAGAAGTAGTTGTCGACGATGTTAGGGCCACAGAACCAGAGCTGTATTTTCTGCAGTGTGGGAGAGACAATGGAGAGGAAACCAACCACCCAACAGGCCACCACCAGCTTCACACACGCTGAACCATTCATGATGGTTGGGTAGTGCGGGGGGCGGCAGATGGCCATGTAGTGATCAAAGACCATGACCGTGAGGATCAAGAAGTTGGCAGAGCCCAGGGAGAAGTAAAAGAAAGACTGGATTAGGCATTCAGCCAGAGACATCGTCTTGTGAGTGGATAGCAGGTCTGCCAGCATCCTAGGTACCACAGTGGAGGTGACCAGCATCTCCATGAGGGATAAGTCGCAGAGGAAGAAGTACATGGGTAAGTGAAGGTGGGAGTCAAGGCAAGTGAGGCTGATGATGGCCAGGTTGCCCAGCAGCGTCAGCACATATATCAACAGGATTAGAGCAAACAGCAGGACCTGGAACTCATGGAGATGAGAAAATCCCAGGAGCACAAACTCCGTGACAATGCTATAGTTACCCACTGCACTTGATGCCCATTCTATGTGATACCTGTGAGGGGTTGAGAAATGTTAGCAGGAGATTGCCATCAACCTCTTTCTCAATCAGGTCCCCATAGTGCTGGCCTGGCTCCCCAAGCACACCAGCCTGTGTGCACAGTGGACCCCAGAACACACATTCCCAAAAGGCAGGATGAGCAGATTTATGACTTGGCCACCTCTACATTATCACCACTCTTAAGCTGTTCCTCTTCTGTCTTCTACTCACTGATTATATTGTAAAACACACTTAATAAGCTCCAACTCTGTGCAAGACATTTGACTGGGTCTGAGGATGAAGGGGTAAGCACTTTCTAACTGCCAAATCTAATGGTCTGTTGTTCAAATAATAGCTGATATTTACTGTTCTTTCCCTGTGCCAGAAAGTGTGCTAGATACTTTACATTATTTCCTTCCATCTTTTTTGCTGAATCCTCATCCTCTTTTTCTTCTCTATAACATTTGAGGCCACAAATAACCCATTTTTGAAGTCACTTCCACCCTTGACTGCAAGGACCCTGCACTCTTGAATTTCTCCTACCATCCTGGGTTCCCTCGTCTGCCTCCTCTAGCTCCCTGTCTTTCTGCCATTTTCTAAACACAGATGTCCCCACATTTCTTTTCTTATCTGTGTTTTTAAAAATTCTCTTTTTTCTCCTTCAGAAATCTCATATACTTTAACCAAAGCAATCTTTAAAATGCAAATGAATTTCAAATCTGGATTTTGTCCTCCTCTGAGTCCCAGCCCACATCTCTAACCACTAGATTGACCACCACCACACATTCAACACATCTAAAGATACACACATAGTCCTCCCCTCCCACAAAGGCCATGTTTATGGCTCCCAATTCCCCAGTCATCTAGGCTGGAAACTGGAAGAATCTAGCCTTCCTTTGTTTATCCATAGCCACCACCCAAGTTCAAGGATCTGTTTCCTCTTAACCATTGCAATAACATTCTTAATTTTTTTTTATTGGTAGATTGCTCAATCACCAACCTATCCATGCACCGTACTGCTATTATATTTTATTTTCTTAAGTTATTGTGTCAATCAACTGTTTTTAATCATCTGTAACAAGGCTGGGCGTTGTGGCTCACACCTGTAATCCCAGCATATTGGGAGGCTGAGGCGGACAGATCATCTGAGGTTGGGAGTTTGAGACCATCGTGGCCAACATGAAGAAACCCCTTCTCTACTAAAAATACAAAATTAGCCGAGTGTGGTGGCACGCACCCGTAATCCCAGCTACCCAGGAGGCTGAGGCAGGAGAATCCCTTGAATCTAGGAGGTGGAGGTTGCAGTGAGCTGAGATCATGCCATTGCACTCCAGCCTGGGCAACAAGAGTGACACTCTATCTCAAAAATAAATAAATAAAAATAATCCTTAACAATGAGATTTCATTTATAATTACTTTCAAAATCAATCAAACTAGCTAGCCATCTATCTTCATCCAGAAAAAGAGTAAAAAGATGCATTTTAAAATATTAACAATGGCTATATCTGGGTATGCATTATAGGAATTTACTTTTTAAAAATCTTGTATTGAAATTATATATATTTAAACTGTTGTATTAGTTTGTTCTCATGCTGCTGTAAGGACACACCCAAGACTGGGTAATTTATAAAGAAAAATTTATAAAGAAAAAATATAAAAGAAAAATTTATAATAAAAACACAGTTTGGCATGGCTGGGGAGGCTTCAGGAAACCTATGATCATGGCAGAAGGGAGAAAGGGGAGCAAACACGTCCTTCTTCACATGGCAGCAGCAAGGAGAAGTGCAGAGCACAGGAGTGAAAAAGCCCCTTATAAAACCATCAGATCTCGTGAGAACTCACTCTCTATCACGAAAACAGCATGGAGGTAACCGCCCCCATGATTCAATTACCTCCCATTGGGTCCCTCCCACAAAATGCGGGGATTATGGGAACTATAATTCAAGATGAGATTTGCGTGGGGACACAGCCAAACCATATGAAATGTGTATCATGAGGTTTGGATATAAATACACATAGTAAACTTATTACTACAGTCAAGCTAATAAATCTGTCCATCTCTTCATATAGTTACCATTTTTCATGTGTAGTGAGATGACCTAAGAGCTACCCTCTTAGCAAATGTCAAGTATACAATAGAGTATCATTACCTGTAATCCCCATGCTGAACTTACTCTTCCTACCCAACTGAAACCTTGTACCCTCTGTTTTTCTATATGTACACATTCATTTCCAAATTCTCTTCATTTAAATTTGAATTCTCTTCATATATTATTTTAGTGATCAAAAAAATTAACAACAATCTCTTCCTTTTTCAGTCAAATCAAGCACAAATTCTCCCTGGCATCTCCTGCCCTACATGACTCTGCCCATTCACCACCCCCCATAGCTTCACCCCCACCTCCTTGTTACACACTTTTTGCTACCACCAAACTGAACCCCTGCTATTTTCCATAAGTCCCAACCTGGGTCCCCTGGGGCAGTCCACAGGAAACAGCAACAACGCGACCCCAGGATGGAGATGCACCACTCTGGCTGGTGCGCTCTCTTTATCTCCTTCCTCCCACTCTTCAGGCACCCCAGTGGGAGACCTGGAACTGAAAGGGATTCAGAAAGATGGAAGTTTTCCACCCTCTTCAGTGCTGACAGTGTGCCCCAGCAGGGTTTGGAATAGGAGCATGATGGTAGTTCCCAGGGAGCAGTTGCCTCTACAAGGGACTTGGCCACATCCCAGGACCATCCTCAGTTTGGGAAATGTGAGCTCCTGGGAGCAGGCAGCAACTGGGAGTCCACAGGGGCCTCCTAGGAACTGTGACTGCTCTCTCTCACACTCTCCTGTCTCCTGTGGGCACGGAGCTCAGTGCAGCCCTGGCAGCCCTGGCAGCCCTGGGATCTGCAAGTGGAGTGAGGAGAAGAGGGAGGAGGAGCAGGAAGTTGGGCACCAATTATTTTAGACACAGGCAATTCAGGAACAAAGAAAATGAGCAAAGAATCGTTACCGCTGGCCATCCAGGAGGGAAAAATATAGGTCCACTGTCTTGTTGTTTTCTCATAAATAAAAAATAAGAGGAATGCCAAAGTAGAAAAACACATCTATTTTTAGAAAAACGAAATGGCCAGGGCCTGAGCATTAAGATACTGGGTGAACCAAAATTAGAAATTAGGGATCTGTTTACAACTATAAAATGGAAAATATACATATATATACACACAGACACACATATATATGCACATACATCAAGGGAATATGTGTGTGTATGAATGATAAATATATTGTTGTCAATTTGTAATTTTGTATATTATATCAGCTATGAAAAATTTTAAATATGACATTGAGACACTTCAGTAAACACAGAATTTTATTATGACTGCCAAAACCAAAGGAATTTTGTATTTCTCCTTTCTTCTTTTTCTTTTTGAGATGGAGTCTTGCTCTGTCACCCAGGCTGGAGTGCAGTGGCACGATCTCGGCTCACTGCAAGCTCCGCCTCCCCAGTTCATGCCATTCTCCTGCCTCAGCCTCGTGAGTAGCTGGGACTACAGGCGCCTGCCACCACGCCCGGCTAATTTTTTGTATTTTTTAGTAGAGATTGGGTCTCACCATGTTAGCCAGGATGGTCTCCATCTCCTGAACTCATGATCTGCCTATGTCGGCTTCCCAAAGTGCTAGGATTAAAGGCGTGAGCCACTGCACCTGGCCCAGAATTTTGTATCTCTTTATCAGCAAGACCAGCTTCCCTGACTTCTCCACCCACCCAAGGATGTGCATCACGTCCAGTGCCAAGGACTCAAGAAATGACATAGTCCTTTTCCTTTGTCCTTTGCTGTACTTCATGGCAATAACAGCTTTATCACGTGTTCCTGCAGACATTGTCTCAGTTGATCCTCTCATCAACCCTGTGAAGCAGCCGCTATGGGTGTCTTCATTCCACCACTGACGGTACAGAGGAAGCCTTGCTCCAGGGCATGCACCTAGTGAGTGGTGTCTGGGTTTGAACTCCAAGGAGCAGAGTACAGGTGATCTTCAGCTTGGGTACTTTTGACTTTTGCACATGACCTTGCATACCCTCTACACTGACATTTTCTCATTCGCTTTCACACTTCCATATATTTGCTGATCAAGGAGGATTTCAAGTATCACATGTAGCATCTCCTGCCCTAATGGTTCAAGTTTGTCTGTACAATTATCTAACAATTTTAACTGAAAACACTAGCAAGTGAAAATGGAAACTTGTCTGGATGAACTTCTATTTGCAAGATGCATTTTCATGAGGGTGTTGTCAAAACAATAACAAACAAACAAGCAAACAAACATAATACATCTGTCTCAAAGATGGAGCCCAGGCTAGAGTTTCATGATCGTGCATCTAAGCTTCAGAAGAAGGAGTCTGAGGCAGAATTGAAAGGAAATACAACAGTCATGCTTCTGTGAGATTTGTCTTTTTTCTAGACTTCTCATCCTTTCCACAAATATATGGAAAATATGTTTGCCCTGCTGGAGCTTCAAATCTCTGCCCGGGTTCACATTAAATTTGGTGGTGGGTACAATCATTACCACCTTAACGTTTAAATGGCCAAATATAGCCAAAATGGAGAGGGGCTTTGAACCCCCGAATCATTTTAAGTAGTTTTGTAGTATATTTTATATGTATCTAGAAGCTGTGAGTGACCCATCTGAGACCAAAAAAAAAAAAAATGGAGGTAGAGACTGAGCTGAGATGAAGAAATCAGGGTTATGGGGATTGTTTAAAGAAAGTGGATTTAGGCAGGGCACAGTGGCTCACATGTGTAATCCCAATACTTTGGGAGGCTGAGGTGGGTGGAGCACAAGGTCAGGAGTTCAAGACCAGCCTGGCAAATATGGTGAAACACTGTCCCTACTAAAAATAGCAAAAAAAAAAAAAAAAAAAAAAATTAGGCCAGCATGGTGGTGGGAACCTGTAGTTCCAGCTACTCCGGAGACTGAGGCAAGAGAATTGTTTGAACCCGGGGGGTGGAGGTTGCAGTGAACCGAGATCGCACCACTGCACTCCAGCCTGGGCGACAGAGTGAGACTCCGTCTTAAAAAGGAAAAGAAAAAAAAGTGGGTTTAGAAAGCAATCAAAAAGAACACTACATGAGCTGAATGGAATAAAAGTTCTGTGATAATCAATCTGAAAGAAAGACACCAAAGACAGAAGAGAAGAAGAAATGGAGAAAAACCACAAGAGAGATTCTGGTGTGTGCCACCTAAGGCAGGGCACTTGGCAAAATTAACCTAAGTAACTGTTTCGAGTGCCCAGAATCTGAAGAGAGGCTGCTCAGAAGCGGGCAGAGCTCCTGAATGGATCTGTGGCTCTGGCAGGGAAAACATATTTTTACTGTAGATCTAGGGGACAAAAAGGCTAGGAAAAGAGAGTGGTGGCAATAGAGAGAGAATAACTCAAGCAAGTAAATGAACTCTTCCTGGGTGTGACGGTGAGAGATGTCCTAACTGGAGAAAGCAATGACCTCACACCATGTTAAACGGTAGATGAAATTAAGGAGTCTGACAATGACTGCCTACCTCTTCAAGCACATACTTAGCAGAAGTGAGGCTCCTGGAATTTATTTCAACTGTATAGAGAATCTGTCCACATTTCCTTATGCCATTCTACCTGTGGGCTGATTCTGAGCTTGTTCCATGTCCTGGAGGTTGGTAGAGAAATGCAGGAAGTGCAGGACATTGTTATAGGAAAAGAAGACCCCCTTTGCTCGCATCTTCCCCCTTTCTAAGGTATATGTAATAAAAGGTATCCCAAAGTCAATAGGGTGAAAATTCAACTGGAAGAAGATCTCGGATAGGGGTCTGCTTAAGAATGGTTTTGTCAATCACTGGCTTGCTTGGAGGAGAAAACTTGGCAGGTAGATGAATGTCATCATTAAGGGTTATCTCAGGGATTTTGGACAGTTGGGGAACTGTGGTGATGGGCCCATGAATAGGTACAGTTTCTCTGCTCTGGCCTTCATAAAGCTAATTATTCTACTCCTTATGGATCTGGAGCCTAAACAAATAAGTGGAAGGCAATGATCTCCTCTGAGATGCAGTATATTTTTGCATATTCCCTCCTACTGAAATAATAATTCTCTCTCAGTGACAATTCCTCCATCTGTACACGTGCATGGACACACACACACACACACACACACACACACACACACACGATTCCATCTTCTCCCTAGAGACCTGGATCTTTTCCCCACAATGGCTGGTTTGGCCCCAAGGCTGAGACATCAGGTGCTGTTACTCCACAGTCCTCTAGGTAACCTCAAGAATATTACATCTCCAATAGCTCAAAACTGATTTGTGTTCTGTATTAACCCTGAAACCAAATTCAAACTTCACTGTGGCAGAAGCCCTCTTATAACTGCCTCTTTAGCCCATGCTGACCAAATAACATGCCTCATGCACAATCCCATTCTGTATTACCAACAAAATATCTGTTCCTATCAAGTAAATGAGCTTACTCTCTTCATCATGACCAGTTCTTTCTGCTTGGAATGGCCACTTACTCTTCTAGGAACATGTATCACAACATCCTCCCCCACCCCACATTCTACCACACATTAAAAAAAGTTTGCCAGTCCTTTCCACTATCATAAAAACCCTAACTGCTAATGTCATTTTATTTTGATCTTCTATTTATCACTTAGGGACTTAGATTACACAAGAGCTAAACTCATGTTAACATCTTGTAGAGGGTGAGAGAAAAGAAGAAGTGTAATTAGCAGGGAATCATAAATTAATGAGAATTCATGAGAATTAATAAAGGAGCTAGTATACTGTTTTTCTTAGGTATCCAGAAAATTAAATTACATATAATGAGAACAAACTGCTCATTAAGGATTTTCCTTATCCCAAACAATTTACAGCATCTCTTGAAGAGGCAGTCCTTTGCAGGTCCCTACTCAGCTCTCAGCTGTCTACTCAAGGTACTGTTTATAAAGGAGTGAAGCATCATTATTGTCATGTATCATGCATTCTGACAGTGAAATTGCAGTGGAGGAGCTACGCTTTCCCAAAAGGATGTCAAACACTTATTACAGCAAGATTATGTGTCTCTGATGATAGCCTCCTAGCAAATAATTGAGCAATACTTAGGAAGTACACTTAGAAATAAATAGAAAATTTAAGACTTTAAGGCAATAGCAGCGTTGGTTCAGAAAATTTAGGTTCAGACACTAAAAGTACAAGTTATAGGATAAGAAAACTGAGATTTTGACTCAAATTTACAAATGTCTTATGAACATAAAGAGCCTGTTGATCTCTAACCCTTCTTAACACATTCGCCTCTCTTCATGTAGGAGTTAGAGTCAGGAGTTATCCAACCAGACTCTGTCCAGCCACCTACTTTCTCGCTCTGCAGAGGAGCTACACATAAAATATTGTTCTCATCCCTGCGTTTCCTTTCACCTCTTATGGCCGTTAGCCGTTCTTTCTTATGCTCACATCTGGGTCTTCTTTTACCACAAACTTCTGAGCTCAGATAGCACTCCTTCTCTCTACATTCTGTCTGTTAGTCTAAAATGTTACAAGCCAAGACCAAGACATAAAAGCGTGGTGATAGCACCACCTTTTCCTTTCTAATAAGGAAAAAGGTCAGGTGCAGTGACTCATGCATGCAATCCCAGCACTTTGAGAGGCTGAGGTGGGTGGACCACCTGAGGTCAGGAGTTCGAGACCAGCCTGGCCAGTATGGTGAAACTCTGTCTCCACTAAAAATACAAAAACTAGCCAGGCTTGGTGATGGGTGCCTGCAGTCCTAGCTACTCAGGAGGCTGAGGCAGGAGAATTGCTTGAACTCGGGAGGCAGAGTTTGCAGTGAGCCGATATCATGCCACTGCACTCCAGCCTGGGTGACAGAGCAAGACTCTGTCTCAAAAAAAACCAAAAAACCAAAGCCTTGAATCTGTAAGTTGAACATGATCATTTCTGAGTACTTAACAACATTCAAGGAAGCAAATCACTGGAGTGGAGCTTAGTAAACGTCAATGGAGTTGAGAAAATCAAGAGAAGCCAAGGTATTGATTGGGTTATCCACACAGACATAGAAGTTACCTAGGATGATGGCAGAATTGAGGGTGAAAAAGATAGTTCTCAGCGAGATGTCTGAGCTTCAGTGAGTAAGGGGTACTGACCAATAGGTTTCAGGGAGGGAGAGAAGAGGATATAACCGGTGAATGAGTACCAAAGTGGCAGAGATTTTTACATCAAGATCTAAAAGAATCAATTCAGATGTCATATTTTCTAAGAAGTCTGCCCTGACTCTGCCTTCACCAATTGTATTAATACTAAGTAAATTATTGAAAGTTTTCACAGTGCTCTGCAAGTTTCTGCTGTATTATAAACCAAGCGGGGTCTATTAGTCCATGCTTCCTCTAGACTGTGGGCTTTCCTGTTCCCTGTTCTACCATCCTCCATTGCCCCCATCCAGTGTAGTTTATTTTGATGATTTTTCTCATCACTTTAGCATATCCCAGATGTTCAAACAAATAACCGTTATTTAAAGTATTATAGGCTGCTTACCACTGTATATGTTAAAAAGAAAGCATGAATGCTGAACTTAGTATACTTAACATCAATGTCAATATCCTGGTTGTGGCCGGACGTGTGGCTCACGCCTGTAATCCCAGCACTTTGGGAGGCTGAGGTGGGTGGATCACGAGGTCAGGAGACCGAGACCATCCTGGCTAACATGGTGAAACCCCGTCTCTACTAAAAATACAAACAAGAAAATTAGCTGGGTGTGGTGGCAGGCGGCTGTAGTCCCAGCTACTTGGGAGGCTGAGGCAGGAGAATGGCGTGAACCCGGGAGGTAGAACTTGCAGGGAGCCAAGATCGTGCCACTGCACTCCAGCCTGGGCGACAGAGCAAGACTCCGTCTCAAAAACAAAAACAAAAAAAATCCTGGTTGTGATGTTGCACTATATTTTATCAAGATGGTACCACTGGCAGAAACTGGGTTAAGAGTACATAGGATTTTTATGTACTATTTCTTATAATTTCATGTGAATTTGCTATTATCACAATATAAACATTTCTATAAATAAAACTCAAAACATCATTACATGTTTTTAATTTAAAAATTAAGAAAATAGACACTAAACAGATTAGAGTGACTTCATACTAGTAGAAAAGGAGAGGGAAACAGGAGTGAGGAATGAGGATAAAAGATATATGTTATTAATAAAATAAGTTTTAAATTATAAAAAAATTATCTCAATTCAGTGAATTCACTCTTGGCTCATTACTGGCTACCTAATCAGCCCAGTAAGTGATTGTAGAACAGAATCCATTACTATGGAATAATATTCTCTACTGAATGCATTCAAAAGGTGGGTGCATGCCTCATGTCTGTAATCCTAGCTACTTGGGAGGCTGGAGGGGGGGTGTATGCATCCAAAGTCTTAAATCAGAAGTTGTAGTTAAAAAAAAAATTCTCCATATAATATAAAGTTTATAAGATGAGCCCGTGGAGCTCCAGATATAGTCATAGGCATCACAGTATTGATTCATTTATGCAAAATATAGTCCATTTCAATTCCAGGTATCATGTATTTACACATCCACTGATGCAATCTGAGTAATCACTCATGAAAAAAATAACTGTTTCACCATAGTAACAGTTAAGTGTACATTTCAAAATCCCATGTTTTGGGCAGTTATGCTAGGTATTCATTTTAATTGTCTGGATAATTGACTTGTAAAGGCACATTGCCATTAAATAACAATACCAGTTCAGTTTGTTGAACTAATTATCTTTCTATTTTATATCTTTTCATTCTCTTACTAAATTTTCTGTGAAAGCATTATATTTAAAAACAGAAGAGGAGAATTTTGTGCTAAGGGTTTTTGGTAGATATGTTAGATAAGAAATTACTGGGGAAAATTACTTGCAACTTTCAGATGCACTTCTGGAAAGGTTGTATTATGTCCAATAACCTTTTTCTGGGCATATGAGAAAACAGAAAGTTAAAAAACTCAGGTCCATTTGATCTTTAAGAATGTATTCAATTAAGAAATATCTACTCAGCAATTGCTATGGACTGGTAACTATACTAGATGCTGGTGAAAAAATACAAATGACATATAACCTCTGTCCTCAAGGAGCTCAAAATCTAGTAAAGAAGACAAGTAAACAGAAAATTACATTTAATGTGTAAAGAAATAAAGAAAGATATGGAGCAAAACCCTGTGGAAGTAAAGAGTGTGCAAAGAGTGGGTTGTCCTTTGTTCTGGGGAAGCCAAGTGGGAGTGACATACATACTGTTCTTTTAAAAGGAGTAGGTGTTTGAGTGACAGAGAGGAGAATAAAGTGCATTTGAGACAGGTTTAATGATATGAGAGAAAACAGCACCTTCAAGGAGCTTTAACTTACTTACTTATGGTTCTAAATCAGTTTCCATTAGAGTTCTGATTGAAATGTAAACTGGGGAAAGACTTTAGAAAGGTCAGGAATCAAGGTATCTCGGGACTGGCCATCGTACTCTCTGTGCTCCCTACTCGCACCCCCGTCACTCTTGTTTCTCCAGGTACTCTTTTGTCCTCTTCCCTCTCTTGATCAATCTCCTCTGAGTCCCTATTACATGATACATCTGCATAGCCATAGATTCATCACGACTACCTTGCCCCAACTCATTCTAAACTTTCAGGTCAAATATCCACCAATGCCTTTGAGTTTCCCTTCAAATTCCTAAGGGAGAACTCTAATTGGTCCACC